ATATATAACAAAATATTTAGCAGCAGTTTAGATCAAAGCAAAAATACAAAGTGATAATACGTATATACGCAGAATCAAAAAACAGTTTCTTAAAATTGTGCTTTAACTGAAACTAAACTAAATTTAAGTTGAACTAGAAACTAAATTTTTCTGAGTTTTTCTTTAGCCATTACGTTGAAACAAAAGCAAAGTTCATTTTATCTTCTATTTTTTTGGGGGGGTATTGTTAGCAATCCGGCTAGTTTTCATTTAAGTCAACGGCCAAGGCAACAATTCGAAAACACAGCCATTCGTTTCTAAACATTTTCGCCAAGTTTGCGACAAAACTATCAAAGCCGTTGTGTTTGCCCTGAAGTGCGCTTCAAAATGCGCCCACTCCACTCCTCGGAGCCAGCGCGGTGAGTGGTGAGTGGTTGCAGTTGCAGTTGTCTGAGTGGGCGGCTGGGTGGTGCTGCGTGGTGCTTGGTGGTGTCGCTGTTGGGTTTTGCCGCTCAGCGCAAAGCATTGACAACGAAAAAGAGGAAATCCGCTGGCAGCCAACGACAGTCGCGTTACTATGGGAGCTTTGTGTATGCCACGCCCCGCATTCCTTGCGCCCCCTTGCGTCCCACTCGCTAGATATAAACGCGGATGGCAAACGCCGCAAAATGAAAGCTAAAAAATTCATTGGCATTTGCTGCAGTTGAATGCAAAATGATGCGCTTTTGTTGCCCAGCTGCAAAAAAGTGAAAATAAAAAAAAAAAGAGTAAAAAAAAAAGGAACCTAAAAACTATCTAACGCCATGCAAATAGCAAACGTCAAAAGCGAATTTATTATTTTTTTCTGTTTGTTTTCTCTTTTATTTTTTTGAGCGCATTTTACGGACGGCCGCAGCCGTTTCCGGCAGCTGCAAGTGCGCGAGCATCGCCGCTAATTCATTGCCAAAGCTTAAATTTTTCTATGCATATGCAATTTCTAGGTATGCAGCAGAAGCGGCAGGAGTAGCGGGAGGAGCAGCAGCAGCAGTCGGTCAACCGGAGCGCTACGAAATGCCCAGCGAGACGTCCGACGACGATGTGGACATTGAGGGCGAGGAGGACTACGCTGTGGGCGCAATGGATGCAGATGAGCTGAGCGACCAGCTGCCCTATGGCATACAGAATGTGCGCAAGCGGCGCGTGCGCAGCGTGCTGCAGCACCCACTGGCCGCACAGCAGCAGCCCCTCAGCGAGGGTGTAAGTAGAGCGAGCAACCAGGCACCCGAAAAGGTTAACTGACATTCATAGTTGTGTCTGAACTCTTAACAGGTCACCTATCAATCGCTGTGCCCCACGAAGCGTGTGACTGTGAAGCTGGACAATGGCGAATATCGGCCCAATCACTATGTCGAGGTGACCTGTGCCAACAACTATGCTCCGCTGCCTGCCCGCCTGAACGAGCGAACGGGCATAAAGGGTGAGGTGCGTATACTTGATATTTACACTGAAGATACAAAAAAAGTTGAGAAAAAGAGAGATGGCAAGAAACTTAACTACATATTTTATAAAAAAAAAAAAAAACTATAGTACGATGAATATTTTTTATCATTTTCTATAAACTTTATAGACTTAATATTTATTAATATATTTAATTCCTTGCAGATCTGTTCGGCAATTGGCTTATCGTGCATTCAACTGAATCGCACCATACACCTGATACGCCTCAATGAGGGCAGCGGCTGCTGGGAGTCGGAGACGCGAACTGTGCCCTCGGGCTGTGAGTGCATGTGGCCGAAGCATAGCAATGGCGACATTGCCTATCACCAGGCACAGAAACGTATCGGGACTACGGCCAGGAAATTTAAGGAACACATCGCAGCTGGCAATATTGACTACAAGCCGGGCACGGGCTATCGCCAGCTCACGCTGCGCACCCGGAAACCCAAAGCCGGAATAAAAACAGGGGTCCGCGCCACTAGACGCAATCGACGTGAAGATCTCTTGGACTACGAGAACTATGAATTGATATAAATGGAATGACATGGCGAGGGCGAGCCACGTGCCAAGCACAACGGGCAGCGCATCACAAACGAAATTTATGGATCATTTAGCAACTAAGTTGAAGGTGTACATTAACATACTAATTTGTTCTTGCTGTGGTTTTAGCCGTAATACACTCTTTATTCATATTGTAATTGTAAAAACAAAACAAAAAAAATCAAAAAAAAAAAAAAAAAAACACTATATGGTATACTTAAGTATAATAATGAATTAAACAATGGAGCAACCAAAGACACGGGCGATAAATCAATGGGCTTAAACACGTTTGCAAATCTATATTGATGTCTTTATAATTGAACTTTTGCATTTTTATTTCAACCAATTTGAATTCATAATCCCATTGAAATTGCTGTTATTTATGTTACTTATACTATATACTATTTATACTATTTACAAATGCATTTATAACAATGCGCCAAACGAAAATTAAATGTAAATCGTGTACGTAAACGTAAATCAATGGAAATCCATTGCATTGATTATTATGTGAGCCTTTCCAGCGGTTGCTCTGCCACCTGCAGTAAGAGATTTTCAGCAATTGTTGAAATTTTCGAATGCAGTTCCTGTTCCGTTTGTAATGCATCGAATTGATGCCAGTAGCTGGATTCCTTTTTATTGAAATGATCAAATAGGTCGCTCACTTTGCGCTGCAGCTCTAATTTTTCATACCTGCAAGGAGACAGACAATTATATATGAGCTACCCTATCTATGAGATCAGATTGATAGTGAAATACAAACCGCTCGTTGCCGAAACTGCCTCGGGATGCTAGCTGATCGGGATTTGCCTTTAAGTAGAATACAGCGTCGGGTTTCAGCAAGCCCAGATCTGGTGCCCAGCACCAATCCAAGTCAAGTCCCTTGGCCACCGAATAGACCACGCCGGAATAGGCATAGCGGTCACATATTATTGTCGTGCCGGCCAGCAGATCCGCTTGGATGCTGCTCATGCATTCCCAGCGATTCGCCGAGAAGAGCAGGTGAATAACTTCATGGGACAACTCTTGGGTGTTCTTCAGAAATCGATTGATGACATCGCCAATTATTGTGCTACGATTCGGAAAGTTGATTTTCTTCGCAGCAATACCTTTTTCCTTTAGCCGTTCGCCTGGGATTAGATTGATATTACAGGAGTTTTCAATTGTAGTTCTTATCTTAGCAGATGTGGAAATATAGGATGTATTCGTTATCCTTCTGTGGCCGCTCCATAACAGCAAAATCTGAGCAAAGCCGCTATTAATGGAATGAATGCTCGCGATATAATCTTCAATTATGACTTCATTAAGTATGGATTAGGAAAGATAAACAACTAAGATCTGCTACCAATCGGTTAATAAGTTCATTTCAATGTCAAAACAAGGCGATTTCTTTTCTAGTCAGAATTTTGCCAGCAGCGCAAATTTCTACTTTGACTGGCGGGAAAGTTCACAATAGATTCTCTTAACCGCATTGCAAAGAATTTTAGCGGCAAAATTAGCCACGATTGCCAATGCACGCGAAACTCAAAATTACAAAAGTAAACAATGTTTTTGGTTTATATATTAGATCTAACGTGTTACATTGCAAAACTTAAAGTTGAAGCATATTAAATCAATTAGTTTCACAAGTCATGGACAAATTAAGTGCCAAACATTCTCACTCACTTTTGGTTTATCTACTTTATTAACTTACACAGTTGATTGCTTTGCGTTGACTTGCCAACACGATCACAGCCTTCAAATACTATAAAGGCACCACGTTTATTTGATTCCATGTTAAATTAATATTGTGTTGTAGTTTTTACTCAAGTGATAAGCGGATTTAATTTCAATAGTGAAATGCACACTTCTGCAATCCAGGGCTACAGAATTGTTTAAACTCGCGGCTGCGTGACAAAAGCTGACTGATTTACCCGCGAAATACACATCGCATGCCCAAGGGCAATGACTTTTAAAGAAATGACAATATAATTAAATTCTAAAGCCATTTCGATATATATTTATTGCCAATTAAATATTTACTTTGTAAGGTTTCTTATTTCGTTGATTTATGTGTGGTGACTGAGCTCGCAATGTTGCACTTGATGACGAACCAGTCTGTGGTTCATCCACTCCACTAATGAACCATGAACACACACACATAGGCACACACATAACACAGAAGCAGAAGCACACGTAAATTTCATTTTGTTTTAAACAAATTGAAACACTTAAAATCGGCCAAAACTAATACGGCATTTGTAAAAAATAAATGATAATTCGATTAACGAAACGTTACAATGTGTTAGCAATAAAGTGCGGGTGTTTGTGCTATTTGGCAAGGCTTGGTTTTGGCCTGCCTTTTCGGCCCAAAACAAGTAATTCGCAAAAACAGTCACAACGAAGCTGCAATGCGCTGCACTTGAGTGAGTGAGAAGGCAAGATTGAGGTATTGTGCAAACAGAGTGCTTATCATCAAGCAAAACTTCCCAACTAACACTCACCTATGCCCAGCCAGTCACATACTTCTCTAACCACATTCAATTACCAAACAAGTGGCAAATGCTATTGCAACAAAATGTCCATAAGGCAACATAAGACAACATTCATTGATACAAAGACCGCGTGTTTTTCGCGTAGCGCCCAGCGGTCGCACCAGCAGTAGCAGCAGCGGCGGCAGCAGCAGCAGCGCATACCAGGGACAGGCATGCAAAACAACGCTGCCGATAATTTATCGACTGTCTGCAATTATCGCGCAAGGACCGCTCGCTGAAAACTTTTGCAAGTGGGTCGTGTGGTTGGTGTGAAAAAAGTGCGTGCGAAATTTGTTTATACTCGAATTAAATACCTGCTGCAATAATTAGTGAACTGTCAATGATGCTTCAAACGGCGGCATAGTCACAGCCGCCACCATAAGCAAATGAGCGACAGGACACAGCATCTTATGCCGTATGGCCCCATAGACAGTGTCAGGTGCTCGTGTTAACAAAACCAATTAAATGTGTTTCCTTGTAGTAATAACAGCCAAAAGTGTGTTTAGTTTTCCTATGAGTGAGTCCTGAGCATAGTTGTAACTATTTCCACTAGCTACGACCCGGTCCTTCTGTGTCGGTTTGTCACATGACGGCCGCCCCTCGATTGTCGGCAATCAATTTCTCCCTTTAGATGAGTCTCATGCATCAACTGTTCAGTTAGGGATACATCTATCTATATATATTATATATACATATGCACATATGTTATTGACTAGCTAATCATGTCCAACAACAATCATCCGCACGGACATTTGAGTCAGGCGGCACAGAATCCCTCATGGAATCCCCTCCAAGTAAGTATCTAGTAGACACACACACAGACACGCACACATACAGACAGACAGACATAGAATGCCTTGACGACGAAGCTGAAAAACAGATGCATCCATCATCTCTGCAGATACCCTCGTATATACCGCGACAGCCCCAATTGGCGCACATGTCCAATGAAAGATCGCTGGTTCGCTCACCATTGGCCTGGCATGCGTCGTCCGCCCAACCGCCGCCGCCACCGCCCGATGCCATTTACAATTTTATGTCGGCCAATCATAAAAACGTAATTAGCGTAGTTTTCGTTTCGATTAGATCCACAAAAAAGTATAATAATAATAAAACTCCAATGAAATCCAAATGCCACCCGTAGCTAAATCCCGAACTTCCTTCAAATCTCTCTCTTTTGTTGCATTTGTAGTTGCTTCTTGTCCAATCGCTTGTTTTTATTGCCTCAATTACGCCTTTGCTTGTTTTTTTTTTTTTTTTTTTTTTCATATCTAATCGCAATTGATTGCCCTTGCAGCTGGATCATCATCATCAAATGAATCCGTTGCTGGCGCCGCCTTATACTGGAACATTGCCCTTTGACTCCATGGATTTGTCGCTGCAATCAAGTCGCAGCGCTGCGCCCACGCTGAACAAAACTGGCCAACAACAACAACAACAACAGCAGCAGCAGCAGCAACAACAGCAGCAGCAGCAATCACAACAGCAGCAACAACAATCGCATTTACATGCACCGCCTAATTATCCAACGATGTAAGCTAGACTTTGCTCTGCCGACTATAGATATAGATTATATTATATATATATATTTGCTATTCACAGTCACAATTTGACCACAAGCACGCCCGCAGGACATCTGCCGGGCATGCCTGCATCGGCCTCGCCAGCTAGCTCTGCCAGTAAATATCTCAATGCAAATGGTTCGGGGCCGGGAGATTGCGAGTCGCTGTTGCCGCCGCCGCCCAGTACCCCGCCCAACAATAATAATCACAGCAGCAGCAGCGGTAGCGGCAACGGCAATGGCAGCAATGCGAACAACAACACCACCACAGGCAGCAGCAGTAGCAGTAGCAACAGTAGCAATAACAACAACAATGTGCCGCCGCCCCATTACATGCAAAATCGTGATGAGAACTTTAAGCTGACACAGTTGAAGAACATGCAAAAGGGCAGCGAGTTAAGTGGAAAAGATTGCAGCTACACAGGCAAGCTGGCTACGCACAACATGCAACARCAGCAGCAGCAGCAACATCACTCCAAGAAGCGTAAGTACTTGCAATATAAACATAGAGATTGTCTAATACTTAGCGACTTCTCTTACAGCCTCGCCGCTTCGCAATTATCATCAGCAGCAGCAGCAACAGCAGCAGCAGCAGTCGCCCTATAACATGACGCCGCCGAAGTATAACGGACCGCAAACTCCGCCTACGCCGCAGTCGCCGCTGGACTATAATCAATTGCATTTGCATCATCCGCTGCACGCAGGAATTGGTAGTTATGCGTCACAGCAGCAGCAGCAGCACATGCCACAGGAACAGCAGCAGCAACAGCAACATTTACATTATGCACCACCAGCAACACATCATAACCAGCATCTGGCACCGCCACCACCACCGCCGCTGTCGCATATGACAAATGCACAATTTCAGCAGCGACAGCAACCGCCGATGCAGCAGCAACAACAACAGCACCAGCCGGCAGCGACAACCCAACAAACGTCTCAAATGCATTCCCGCAATACGCAATTAACGAATCTCGATATGCTGTCCAAGCAAAAGCCAGAGGATCAACATCAACAACAGCAGCAGCAGCAGGAAGATTCACAGCCGATCATCACGGATCTCTCTACAACAGCCTCGTATCGCAGCAATAATCAACAAATTGCCGAGGACAAACACTTGGTAGAGGCGCCCGAATCACCCTACATGACCACATCCAATGAGGAGTCGCTGGAGTCGAACAGCAACAGCAGCAATAGTCGCAAGCGGCGCAAGCGCAAAGCCAGCCAGGTGATGCGCCTGACGCCCAGTGAAAATGTGAAAAGACAGCGTACCCCGAGCCCGCATAGCAACAGTTGCAGTCCAAAGCACTCGCCCAAGAATGGAGCCGATGTGCAAGAGTTTCAGCCGTTCGGCCTTAAGGATAAGCAACAGCACCAGCAGCAGCCGCAACAACACGAACTGCCGCAAGAAAATGGACGGGTTTCATCGCCGCCAACTGCTGCAGCAGCCGACAATAGCAGCAATAGCTCCACGATCTACAACGATACGGATAATCCCAAGACTAAGAAGCAGCGACAAGCGCTGCTCCAACGCAATCTCACAGAGCAACAGCATCAGCAGCAGCATCGTCGCCAGGTTGACGATGAGGATCAGCAGGAGCAGCAGCAGCGCCAGTCTCCCGCCCCAAAGTCAGCCAGTGAATCGCAAATGCCACCACCCAGTCCGCAGAGCAATAGCAGCAGCAGCAGCTCGAGCAGCTCCAGCGCTGGCACACACAGCAGCCACAGCAGTCCAGCCAGCGAGGCGGTTGCTGGCAAAGATCAACTGGAGCAGCAGCAGCAGCAGCTGGACAATAACAAGGCCGTCATCACAGATACGCCCGCCTCGCCAGCTTTAGTCGAGCAGGGCGACATTGATGCCAAGCCAGCGGTGAGCGTGCACGATGATGAGGATGAAGTGGAATCGCCAGTTGGAAAGGAATCGCCCGCAGTCGCAGCAACAGCAACACCAGCAGCAGGTGCAGCAGCAACTAATGCCACAGCAACTGGAGCCACAGAGCCGTGCCATTTCAACGAGGTGGAGGATAAGCTGGAGAAAATGTTTGCCGGCATTGAGGATGAGCCGGCCGAGCAGCAAGCCGATGAGCCGGCCAGAGCACCAAGAGCAGATCTGACTGCACAATTAGCTTTAGACAAGGATAAGCTATTAGCCAGCACTCCACCAGCGGCCAGCACACCAACACCAACCCCAGCATCCACTCCTGCACCCACACCCGAGCTGCGACCCATGGCGACAAAGGCAGCCATGAAGTCCACAATGCCCAGTCCCATACACAGCCCCACGCCGCTGGGCGAGCCGCCAGCCAAGGAGCACGCCACAGCACAGTCGCCAGCCCCAGCTGCAGCTGCGACGCCGCCAAGCGCCAAAATGCCGCCACGAACGCCGCCAACGCGTTGCTTGCCACCGCGACGACTCTCAATGGGCATGGATCCATCCCTGTTGCGCTTTACCATTGAGGAGCCAAAGAAGATGCCAGCGCGAAAGAAGACGGCGCCACCACCGCCTCCTCCGCCTGAAACGGAAATCATGCAGCTGGACAGTGATGATGATAAGCCGAGCACCTCGGCAGCCGCAGCAGCTGCTCTGGCGGCACGCAAGCTAAGCGAGGCAGCTGCAGCCAAGGCTCTCGCGCCCAAGGCAAGCAACGGGAATGCCAACGCCAACAACAAGAAAAAGAAAAAGAATGCGCCCAAGGGCAAGAAGCCAACGGCCAAGAATGGCGCCAAGGCCAACGCAGGGAAAAAGGGAAGCGTGCGCAAAAATTTCAGCACCGACGAGGACAGCACTCCGGCGCCCAATCGTGAGAGCAGCAACAGCAACAACAATGGCGCTGCTGCGCCAGATCTCAGGTTCAAGTCCCCATTCATACAGATCAAGCCCGACGGCAGCATTAGCATTAAGAATACGCACAATGCCGAGGATGTGAACGAGAAGCAGACGAAGAAGAAGCACACAAAGGCCCCGCACGAGCGCAAAAATCTGCGCGGCATGCACAGCTCGACGTTGAGCAATCGCTACGATGCAGACACCACCGACTCCAGTTGGATTTGTGTGTTCTGCAAGTGCGGGCCCCACAAACTGGGGCTGGGCGATCTCTTCGGTCCCTATCTGGTTTCCATAGACTGTGAGGAATATCGCACGGCGGTGCAGGTGCCGGCAGGTGTGCACGACATCGACGGCTTGTTCGCGAGCAAGCGCAAGCGCTCGGACATGGTCAAGCTGCATGAGCGCAATCTGCCCGTGGTGCCCGCAACGCTGGCGAACATTATGCAGGCGCCCAAGATAACGATGGTGAGTGATGACCATAATTGATATATAACTTTAATTTAACATGTCATTGCGTTTCCTTGCAGCACAAACGCAAGCGCAAGCAAACCCACGACAGCGTCTACTCCTGCAGCGATGCTGATCCAAATGAATCGCAGTGCTCGTCGCAGGATCCGCTCGACTGCAGCCATGAGGCCAAGTTCGTTGAGACGTTTCGCGGCATGACGAAAACATCGGATCATTGCTACGAGATTTGGCTGCACGAGGACTGCGCCATCTGGGCGAATGACATACAGCTGATTGGCGCTCATGTCAGTGGCCTCGATGCAGCCGTCTGGGACAGCACACGGTATCAGTGCGTGCACTGTGCACAGCCGGGCGCCATTGTCTGCTGCTTTGAGCGCACCTGCAAGGCAGCGGCGCATGTGCCGTGTGCCCGGCTAGCCGGTTGGAGTCTATGCGAGGCGGAGCGCAAAGTCTATTGCCAGCTGCATGTGCCCGAGGGAGCAGCGAGAGAGAAGCTAGCCACGACATTTCTGACGCCCAACATGAGCATGGGGGAGCAGGCGGCAGCGCCACCGCCCACACTGAACATCAATTCGCTTCCCTGAGTACGCGTGCGTGTGCAGAAATGTCGTCTGGACGTCAAGCATTGAGCGCACGTTAAGAGCTCGGATACAGGACCTCCTCGGCCTAGCGGCGACAGCTGCCTGTTTTGTATATAATCAATATAATCTAAATGGCTTAAAGCGCGAGACTGGATTCAGGCAGCAACAGCTGCTGTTGCTGTTGCTGTTCCCCCTGCCGCTGCCGCTGCTGCTGTTGATCTTTGCTGTTTCGGAAGTCAGGCAATCGCTGCTGTTAATCATTTTTCCTGTTTTTATGTGTTCGATAATCCCCATGAAACTTAAAACTTGTGTAAAAAGATTGCTGTACATTTTACGTAGACGCTGTGGGCGACAGTTTTTAATGCTAGTTTATAGTTCATATACACACATACACACACACATATATATTTTACTATATTTAGTTGTTTATACGTATTATTTAAATTATTATTAATTCGATTATATATACAATCATATATATATATACATATAGTACTTAGTATTTGTACCTATTTAGTTGTAATTATATATCCACAATGCAAATAGTTTACATTGCCTCTTTTTACGTTTGACTACGATGGTTCTTGTGCTGAGATTCCTCACATCACAAGTTGTTTATATATATGTTTTTCTGTCATTATTGGTTCGTTCTGAAAATACTTTATGCATATGCCAATTGGTAATTTAGTTCAATTTTTCGTATGTATAAAACGAATACTCCATGCCATACCGTTTAATTATATTTATAACGAGAATAATTATACTTATGATAACGATAATGACTACGACGACGATGATGATGATGATGATGATGATGATGATGATTATTATGATATATGCATTGTGCACAGCATTAATTAAGGTAAGCATATAACCACAAATAGAAAATGTTTGACACCCATTAAATAAATCGCAAAAACAAATGAAATGAAAGAAACGCAACAAAACAACATTCGAAAACTATTCAAAATGGAATATTGTACAACAATATAAATAAATAAATAATAATAATATTAGCTACATGTAAAACTAAAAAAACAAAAACAGAAAAAAAAATCTTGTATTGTATTTGTATTCATTTAAAAATAAGCAACCAATTCTAAACACTTTAAACAATAAAACTTAATCTCACCATGAACGAACAATTGCATATAAACAAACAAGAAAGAAGAAGATGAAAGATGAATGAAACCAACCAAAGAAACGTTTTCAACAAATTCGTCGTTTTATTTATTAAATAAATATTGCAAATTGAATAGCATAGAATACATACACACATATATATATGTATATAATTTACAATTTACAATTGCATTAACATTAGCCTAAACTAACAAAATATAAATAATAACTTAAGCTTTTGTAGTAGTAACTCCGTCTCCTTCCTCGGCTGCTGCTGTTGCTGCTCCTCCTCCTCCTACTCCTCCTCCTGTTGTTGGCCTCTCAGTGGCGTCGCTGGCGCAGTCGTCGCAATTGCGTTATGTCGTTAGGCAGGCGGCCGACGCTGCTCTGTGGCACCTGGTAGGATGTGCGACCCGCATAGAAAGCCGCCTCCGAGCCCTGACCCACCATGCCCTTGCCGTTGCTGTCCGTCAATTGCAGCCGACCGATCTGGACATCGTTTCGCTTTTGCGCCACCTGCAATGGCGGCGACGGTACCTGCAATGCGGGCGATGGTATCAAGGCGTTAGGCAGGGCTGGCAGTGCAATATTCAGGTGATCCAGCTGCGGTCCATTCTCATTCTTTCTGACCACGAGAGCTGCGTTTGCTCTAAATGTTGTTGGTGCCGTTGCTCCTGTGGCCAGCGGCGGGAAGAGCGGCAACAGTTGCTGCTGTTGCTGGTACGGCACGAAAATGTTGGGCGTCAGGTAGGGCTGTTGTATGGACTGAATGGAGGGACGTTGAGATTGCTGTTGCTGTTGTTGTTGTTGGTAGTGCTGCAACTGTTGCTGATAGGGCTGCTGCTGCTGCTGAAATTGGGTCTGATAATTGAATTGCTGAGGATGTTGTAGCTGCTGATGTTGTTGAACAAGTTGCAGTTGTTGATGTTGTTGTTGGAGTGGCAATTGATGTTGCTGTGGCAGTTGCTGTTGCTGTTGCTGTGGCAGCTGCTGTTGCTGTTGCTGTGGCAGTTGCTGTTGCTGTTGCTGTTGCTGTGGCAGTTGCTGTTGCTGTTGCTGTGGCAGTTGCTGTTGGCGCTGCTGGTGATAATGAATCTGCTGCTGCTGGGGCTGATATTGCTGCTGCTGCTGTTGTTGCTGATGTTGGCGCTGTTGTTGCTGCTGTTGCTTTTGTGGTTGTTGGTAGCGCTGTGTAATGTAGCTCAGCTGCTGCTGCTGTTGTTGTTTGATTGGCTGACGTTGCTGCTGCACAATTTTTTGTTGCAATTGCTGCTCAATAGGTTGCAGTTGCTGCTGCTTCTGCTGTTGCTGCTGCTGCTGCTGTTGCTGCTGCTGCTGTTGCAATGTCGTAGGATTATTGTTGCTGCTGCTGGCGCCAAATTTGTTGTTAAGAAAATCGCTGAGTGCCACATATGAACTGCCCTGATTGCTCTTTGCTTGAGGCTGATTGACCAGGGAGGAGATGATGTTGTTGGCAGAGCTGGGAGCAATGCGTTGACCCTCGGCACGAGCAATAACAATGCCTGGTGGCGTGGGCAGCACCAATGGAGGCAACTGTTGCTGCTGCTGCTGTTGCTGTTGCTGTTGTGGCTGTTGCTGCCGCTGCGATTGTTGCGGGCGTGGTGGTATGGTCAAGCTAGCTAAAGCTGCAATATAATTCATATATAATATATAGAGTCCGATATTATCGCTCTGCTTACCTGGAGCTGCTGCTGCTGCTGGCTTARCATATTGATAGCTGTTGCTGGTTGCAGGCTTCGTGACGCGTTGCTGTTGGCGCCGCTGTTGCTGTTGCTGGTTGCTGCTGCCTCGGTGCGCGCTGTTGCTCTTAAAGTTCTGTAAAATGGAGTCATCAACAATGGCACGCGTTAGCTTATCGAAGGGCAGAAAAGCGGAGGAGGGAATAAGAGTTGAGCTGATGTGTTGCTGCTGTGAGTGTGATTGCTGTTGTGCGTTGCCCACAATTGTGAGCGGTATGGCGGTTGTGGGTGCATTTAGATAGTCGTGTGTGTGTGTGAGTGGCGGTGCATAGCTGTAGCCGGCGGCTAAAGCAGAAATCTGTTGCGTCAGTGTGGAGAGAGCGGCGGACGCAGGTGTGGTGCGCTGTGTGGTTGTTGTTGTCGTTGTGGTGCTGCGTGGCGTGGTGGTGCCGCGAGTGCGCAGCTGTGGTGCGTGTGTACGGTACGTGGAGTGACGATTGCGTCCACGTTGAGCGCTGGCTGTGGGCGAAGGTCGATGGGTGGTGCTGGTGATGCTGCTGGTGATGCTGCTGGTGGTGCTGGCGCGTGTTGCTGGCGTGTAGACACGATTGCCGCGAGCCACTTGAAAACGTTGCAGATTGCTCTGCACGCTGTCCCAGTTCGCACGCTGCTGCTGCTGCTGCTGCTGCTGCTGCTGCTGCTGACTCGTCTCCTTCTCAATGTCCCGCACAGCAACCTTTTTATTGGGACTCTGCTCAGGGCGTGCAAGAGCTAGAAACGACTCAGTGGTGGTGCTAGCGGTAGTTGTAGCTCTGCTGGTGGTGGGTGCTGCTGTGGTGGTGCCGGATTTGCTGGTTAGTCGCTGCAAGCGCAAGCGACTTGCGGCCAAACGATCTGAATAGCTGCGTGTGGGCGTGGTTGAGCGTGCTGTAGTTGTGGCCTTGGTGGTGCTTGGTGGTGTGGTTTTGCGCTTCACTGTCCCTTGCCGCCGCAATGTGCCGCTACCCACGCGCTTCTGGGCAAAGCGCCGATAGCTGCGGATGCGCTCCTGCGTGCTGCTGATCTCCGTCACAGTTTCCGTCGAGGTGCTCATCGCGGGCGTGGTGCTTGGCCGCGCTGTAGTGGTGCGCGTGGTGCGGGTGGTGCGACTGGGACGTGTTGTGGTCCTGCCCAGCGTCAATTTGTTGCTCCGCAGCGCCGTCTCTTCATCGTGCGAGGTCAGCTTGACGCCCGCCAGCAGCAGCTTCTCGGCCTGCAAATCCACATCCGTCTTGTCCGCCGCAGCGGCGCTCAGTGGTGCGGGCTCAGCCTGCTCCAAGTCCTCACTCAAGCTGGCCGTGAGTGCCGCAGCTTGGCCAATCGACTCGATAATGGGCAGCTCGCTGCTATTGTCCACAGCTGGCTCGATTGTTGTCTGCGTTGTGGTGGCGTCTGGCTCATCGATTGCTGGCGGCAATGTGGGTGCAATTAACAAAGTTTCAAGAGGCGTTTCAGTRGTTGTGGTTGTAGTAGTAGTGGTGGTGGTGGTAGTTGTGCTGCTGCTGCTGCTGCTGCTTGTGGTTTTGTCATTATTGAATTTAAGCTTGTGTTCAATGTCTTTGTGAGCATCAATGGGTATCTCATTGGACTTTAGTGGTGTTTGGTGGATTTTGTGTATGGTTTATCAAGATGTGGTTGTAAATGATAATGTTGTAGGCGAATAGTTGTATAGAGTAGCGAAAGAGATTGCCAAATAAAGAGAGAAAGAGACAGAGAGAGAGAGACAGAGAGAAATAGATAAAATGAGAGAGAATATGAGGAAAGATCAATAGAGAGTTAAGAGATCGTAAGGATGTAGAGATAGTTCATGCTTGTAAGGAAATAATCAGATATATATGACTTTAGGCAACTATTGATAGCCTTATGGGGCTTACCGTAAATCGGACCGTGCCCGGCGTTTGCTTGGGTCTGTTGTACACATAGGACGAGTGGCTTTTGCCGGCCTCCTTTTCGTTGGCCTGCATGGAGAATCCACGGCTGAGGAATCTAAAGGGCTGCTTCACCTTCTGCGGGCTCATTGACTGGTAGCCCGATACACTGGGATCCAAGTCGGTGGAGACCACCTCCAGCAAGTTATTGATGTTGGCCACCAGATCCAGCTGTGTCGCCTCCTCGTTGGTGTTGCGTGTCTGCTTGATGTACTCGGGCGCCATCTGCTCATTGGAAGCAGCTGAGCTGCCGTCCAGCAGCTCGAGGCCCGCATTGACGCGCGCCGCAAAGCTCTTCTGCTTCTGATAGTGATACTCACGCGGATACTCGGCTATGATGTGCGCGTTCGTGTGATCGAACTGGATGCCCGGATCGGAGGACAGCTCACCCAGACTGTTCACATAGATGTCCTCGCCGTCCTCGGGCTCATTGGCTTCAGCTGTGACAATCGGAGCCAGCAGAGCTTCGCTCTTGATGTCCTCGCCGCGCAACGTCTGCTTCTCATTGGCAACGGCCGCTGGTTGGTCGAGGACTCCGCTGACAGTGCTCAGATCCTTGCTGAGGGTGTGATGCCTGTTGGGCTGTTGCTTGCGCTGGTTCAGCTCCTGCTGCTGCAGCACTTGCGATATGGTCTTGGTGGGATACTCCATCATCTGGCGCACTCGCTCCATCATCTCCTGTGTGCTGCCCACGGTGCTCTCATTATTCATGTCATAGTACTGCTCCGACTGGTCGCAGTCCACATTGCGATACCAATCGCAGACGAACTTCTGCTGGTTGAAGATCGTGCCATTCGGACAGAGAAAGCCAAAGCCCTGCGCCGAGCGTGCGGTGTGGGCGCAAATGCGAAACGCCTGACAGCGACTCTCCACATCCGCATAATAACCTGCGCGACCAATTCAATTAGCATGCTGTAAGCTCAAATTGGGAGCTGTAGTATATATATGAGAGGTAGACCCACCTTCGTGTCGGCCACTGCAAAGAAAACTCGTCTTGGGCACCTCCCTCAATATGGGATAGTCGACGCCCGGCTCACCGGGTATGGTGTGACGCAAATCGAACTGCTGATCCGTGTACTCGTTCGCCTTGTCCGCATCCTCGAAGTTGCCCTGGGCG